GTGATATTGAATGGTTTGCCTTGGAAACGAACAGAGATCATTCTGTCATTTTTGAGATTGCATCCAAGTACTGCATTTCAGACTCTTTTGTTGACTATGATGGCTATACCATCTCTTCTAAGGGAGTCCTGCCCATAGTAGTAGATATAATGGTCATCTGAGTTAAATTTACCCATTCCAGTCCATCTTAATTCAGTGATTCCTAGAATGTCGATATTCACTCTTGTCATCTCCTATCTGACCACTTCCAATTTGCTTTGATTCATGGACCTAACATTCCAGGTTCCTATGCAATATTGCTCTTCACAGCCTCGATCCCTTCTTCCATAAACAGTCCCATCCACAACTGGGTGTTGTTTTTGCTTTGGCTTCATCCCTTCATTCTTTCTGGAGTTATTTCTCCACTCTTCTCCAGTAGCATATTGGGCATCTACCAACCTGGGGAGTTCATCTTTCATTGTCCTATCTTTTTGACTTTTCATACTGTTCATGGAGTTCTCAAGGCAAGAATACTGAAGTGGTTTGTCTTTGCCTTCTCCAGGACCACGTTTTGTCAGAACTCTCCACCGTGACCCGTCTGTCTTCGGTGGTCCTACATGGCATGGCTCATAGTTTCATTGAGTTAGACAAGGCTGTGGTCCATGTGATTAGTTTGATTAATTTCCTGTGATTGGGAGCTACTTAGATGGGGATAATAAGTGAAGGTCTTATAGGCCATGTTTGCCCTGGAAGCAGTCTCATTGGCATGCTGGAAGGACGAGGGGCAGTATTCTTAGGATTAGCATTGTTAGCAGAGTAAAGAAAGCAGAATTTTTTCTGCTCCCCAACCCACCATGCCCCTTGTACCAGAAAGCAGAATTTTAAAATTGTTTAAATTTTTAAAATTATTTATTTATTAGAATTTAAAAAAAATTCTGAATTACTTAGCTTATTTTTGACTGTGCTGGGTCTTCGCTGCTTTGTGTGGTCTTTCTCTAGTTATGGTAAGCGGGAGCTCCTCTCTAGTTTCAGTGCACAGGCCTCTCATTTGGAGGCTTTTCTTACTGTGGAGCACGGGCTCTAGAGCACACGGGCTTCAGTAGCTGCAGCTCACAGGCTTAGTTGCCTGTGGGTTCTTCCTGGACCAGGGGTTGAACCCATGTCACCTGTACTGGCAGGCAGATTCTTAACCACTGGACCGCCAGGGAAGTCCAAGGAAGCAGAACTGAACACCATGTGAAGTTGAACTGCAGAGTAGTAGCAACAAAGTCCAGATAGTCTTGCATAGAGTAGGCCTAAGGTTGGATGAGAAAATGCTTTGTAAATAATGATGTCTTACACCAATTGTAATGAGAAGACTCAAACTTTGAATTTCAGAATGTAAATTTTATTTTGTGAAAGCTAATCAGCAATGTGACATTTCCTCACCTTTGAGATATGTTCACAGAAATACTAGGGAAAAGAGTTAAGTCATAAATCTTTGTTTTCACTGAAAATGTTATCCCCTCTGAGATAAGTCGCTCAAGTTGTATCAGTAATATAAAGAGATATTATATCAGGGTTTGTGATCTAATCTTTAAATCAAGATTTTATATATATAGTTTGGCTTGTTTATGGTAAGCTTGATTTTTTCATATCAGACTGTTGTATATAACCTGTATGTTCTATGTGTCATCCCTTTGGCTTAACTTAAACTAGTAGAGTTTATAACTCTAAAACTCTATTGTAGGAGTATATAAAATATATAAAATATAAAAATATACATTAGAAAACATTATAGCAACCCTATAAGCTATGTTTAATTATTTACCATTTTATTGGTAAAATGAAATTAGTATAAGTTTAATTACCCCATTTTATTGATGAGGAAATTGAGGTTTAAGGAGATTAAATAATTTTTTTAAGAGCACAGCATGATGTCATGAGAATCGGTTATGTTCTTGGTTCTCAAGTTAGAATCCAGTAAGAGTTTTCTCTACTAAGACCCCAGTAACCCAAACCTGGAACCCCTTTACTGGAATGAATGACACTGCCATCCAATCTTTAAAAGTGATCAAAAGAGACATGCAACTATATAACAAAGTTTATTTTTCTATTTCTTGATTCCTTTCAAACATTTGACAAAATAAAATTCTTTTTTTGGCCAGAAAATGTGAATAGCACTCTCACGTTTGTCACTCTGAGTGGGGAACTGAAGGCCAGAAAAGAAGAGGATGGTATCGTCCTGGACCTGCCTCTTTATCCAGCCCATCCCCAGGTCAGCTTTTTAAAATTATTGCTACACATTGTGTACAAATTGCCCGTTTTACAGTGATTTTTTCTTTTTTCCTGATCTAGAAATTGCATGAAGTGGAGGACTTGATAAAGGTTTGTGAAAGAAAGTCAAACTTGAGCCCTGTGATTTGATCATCTGTTATTATTTGAACAAACTTGATCTCAAATATAGACCTCCTACCAATGTAAGTGTTCTAGTTTAAGCTTGGGTGAATACCACGTGGTGCCTTTAAGGTTTGAATTTTAATATTGAATCTATTTGGTGAAAAGGTTGACCAGTTTTTCCTAACTCTTCATTATCTGATTAGCCTCCATGGAAAGAAAGATGGGGGAGGGGAGAGTGCCATGTGGCAGGCTGAGAGTGAAAGAAAAGAATGGGAACAGCCTGGCAGCAGTCTATGCCCTGATCTCTTCAGTGGAGAATAAGGCTGAGATGACGGGGCTGTGCTTTGATGGAAGAGAGCAGAAAAGCAAGGGTACTCCAATAGAGAAGACAAGATACATATAGCAGCCTCCTCAAAGGGTCTGTGTGGGGATGGGGCTTAATGATAAGGATGATGATGATGATGATAGAGAACAGTTTTGAGAGTCTCCTCTGTGCAGTACCATGCATTTTAATGCATTATTTCATTTAATTCTGTCACCCAGGGCAGCAGGCACTACAGTTGTCTTGTGTAGATTCTAGAAGGCCAAAGCAGCCCTGGATAGCCAGGTGCTTAGGTTTTAGAGCAGGAAGGGCCCAGGTCAGGACCAGGTCAAGGGTGCCGTGAGAAAAAATGATTCTGGGAAATGGCCTGTTATGGCTAGTAATGGGTGTTTCTTAGTGAATTTTCAAATACAGCATTTGTTATCTCTTTAGTGTTTTGCTTTAAGTTTTCAAAGGATATAAGCAAGTATCATGGATTCTACTTTTACACTCAGCTTCTCCTATGGCTTGGGTTTTGGGAGACAAGCCAAATTTAAAAATGAATTGCTTTAAGCATATTGGCAAAAAAATAGAAAATCTTTACAGTGGTAGACCTTGTTCATGGTAGAAAGAACTTAACCTCATCTCTCTAAGCCTCAGGGTCAGCATTTGTAAAATGAGAATGATGAAAGGTATTTATCATGAGTATTGTCATTTTGGGCTTCCCAGGCGGCTCAGTGGTAAAGAATCTGCCTGCCAATGCAGGAGACACAGGAGATAAGGGTTCGATTCCTAGGCTGGGAAGATCCCCCTGGAGTAGGAAATGGCAACCCACTCCATTATTCTTGCCTGGGAAATCCCGTGGACAGAGGAGCCTGACGGGCTGCATTCTTTGGGATTGCAGAGTCGGACAATGCAATGTGGAGCATGCACGCATTGTCATTTTGTGTTCCTAGAAACTGGCAATAAGATTCTCAGTTGAGAATTAAACTTTCAAATTGACATAAGAATCCATGCAGAGAAGGGTTGGACAACCCTTCAGAGAGACTGGGAGGCCCGGAGAGCAGATGGGATTGGGCTGTAGGAATTCCCATATCTAGAGGGGGGACATTGGTCAGCAGTGGTCACAGAGGCAGACCTTCCAGGCACTACCCACAGCAGAGTCTTGGACATGGAACCTATAGCTTCTCAGCCCCTAAAGAAGATTAGAGAACTTGAAACCACCCACTGACAGTCAGACAACTACCATGTAACTCTAGTCTGTTCTGGTGGCAGCTAGTTGTGGTGCCAAAGGATGACTTGTAGGTGTTTTTGTCCCCTCACAACCTCCCTCAGCACCGCAAACCAATAAACAGACAAACATACCATGTCTCAGATATGAGCATGGTTACATGTAATCTTCAGTAAAGGGTAAACCAGGGTCTTTGGATAATGTTACTATGTTCTTGATCTGTAGTGTATAGCCTAAGTGAAAACAGCAAGCTTGTCAAGCAGAACAGCCTTGAGATGAGTGCCCTAGTCCCCACTTCCAATCATACTGCTGGTCCCGAGTCCTTCTTCTGTAGAATCATCTAGTTACCACTGTAGCTACAGGAACTCTGCATATATTATTTCATTTAATCCTCTAAGAAGCAGGCATAAAGCCCCTAGCTCTACAGATAGTAGACAGTAGCGATTCAGAGCTTTGATTCCAGGGCTCCTCAGTCCTGGGTCAAAGTGTGTGTACGTGAGAGAGAGATTCTGGGCCTCCCTGAATCTTTTTATCTGTGGGAAAAATACCCAATTGAAGGAGTTGTGTATCGAGTCTCATAGTAACATGTATGAACAAGGCCTATCTTTGACTCTCAGAGGCTAAACTCAACCCCTACTAAGGTCCAAGGGGTTCTGAACACCAGGAAATTGGTCTTCTTTGAGAAATACCTTGAATCCTAAAACTGACCTGAAACTCTTGGGACTGGAGACGTTGGGTGTGCCTGGCACAAAGCAGATGTTTGTGAGAGATCGTTCTCCAAGGACTTGACCCAAGACGCACTTCTGAGGAAGTTTTGGTCTGTCTCCATAGACTGCCATAGGTGACACGCTGGTTCAGGATGTTCGCTATTCCCCAGATACCAAAAAGCTCCTGGTCCGGCTCAGTGATACTTACAACAGGTAAATGAGGTTTTTGACTTCGTCAGCGCTGTGGGAGAGGGCACCAGATTCATAGCTCTGGCTTGATCTGGCTGTGCCATGTTCAGTCGAACTATGATCTTCACAACCAGTGTTCTGTTCCTGGGCAGGAAGGTTGTACTTACTCTTCCTCCCTTCCTGCTGAGCCATTGGACAAGCTGCAGCCTGGCCTGCTTTATGGAGTCTGGGGAATGGGTAGTTTGTGGAATGGGTTTGTCCTAATCCATCCTGTTTATGAACAAGGTCATTTCTGGAGAGCCTGACAGTGAACACAGAGAATTTGCTGCAAGTGGAAACCGCAGGGAAGGTGAAAGGACTCATTCTCACCCTCAAGGGAGAGCCTGGTGGGCAGACTCAAGCATTTGACTTTTACTCCAGATATTTTTCTCCATGGAACGGTGTGGCTGAAGACCCCGTAACAGGTACTTTTTGTCTTGAATCCTGAGGAAAGCTAAACAGTGGAGAAGGAGGAGAACAGCTACTTAAGTGCCCTCCACAATGAACTTTCAGGTTGTTTGGGTTTTGAGTTGCCTTTGTTTTCCTGTCTCCCCTCCCCTTCTCTTCACTGAAGTCTCTTGTGAAAAACACAGTGTTAATGAGGCAGTATATAGCAAGGTTAAATTTTAGCATCAGACAGGCTGAATTTGCATCCTAGCTTCCTAGCTGTTGACCTTGGGTAAATGACTTAACTTTTTACAGCTTTTGTTCCCTCTCTATATAATATGGATAATACCTCATAGGTTATGTAAACACAATGCATGTTAAACACAAAACATAATGAGCACAGTGCCTGGCACATGGTAAGTGCCCAATAGCTGTTAGGTATTTTAACAACTAACGATAAAACTGGCTCCTTGAGCCAACACTTCTAGAGCTACCTGTTGCAAAATCCAGTGGCCAATGTCCACTATATTCCCAAAGTCCTTTGCCCTTTTCAGTGGCCAGCCTGTGTGATCATTGACCAAGATTTGAGTTTTGAAGGACCAAGTCCTGGACTGCAGGTGGGAATCAGGGACAGGAATAGTGTTTTTCTTCCTCCCCTCCTCCTTTCCCAGACCTGCTCACTAAGTGAGTGAAATGGGTTCAGGAACATAGGAATTCAGGATCTTCCACAAACCAGAAGCAGAGAGTTGAAATAAAAAGTTGGCAAGAATGTGATGCTTCCTCCTTTCATCCTCCTTGATAAAAGTGGACTGACCAGCAAAAGGTGGGGAATGGTTTTTGGAGGAAGCTGATGGATAAGAAGTTATGAGTGGATTTACACATGCATGGCTGCTTCCCAGAGATTTTGGTTATCACAGAGGGAAGGTGTTTTCCCCCTTGTAATAATGCTTTTCTGGAGTGGGAAAGCTTTGGACAGTGATGGCCAACAATCTCGGTTTGCTTGAGACTGAAGGACTTCTCAGAGTAGGGATCTTCAGTGATAAAACCAGGACAGCCTCAGGCATACTGGGATGCTTGGGCACCCTGCCCCATAGTATTTAGTATGTTTTTCTGAAGGAGAGACCTTTTTTAGACCATCCTTTCCTCTCCCAAATACTTTCCTGTCAGTTATTACTTTGTAGTTTGTTTCTTCATTTTAGTATTTATTCTCTGACCTAAACCTAGGGCACAATCATGTGAAAAAATATCCCACTAAAACAAAGCTCTTTTGGCACCAAAAAACTGGGAACGTTGGCTTCATGGAAATTTTGGTCTTTTGTCAGAGTTCCCACCCTTCCTTGCGTGTATGTCTTAGGAGGAAGGATGTATTTTTCCTTGATAGATGTAGATAGATTTACACAAAAGCCTTAATTCTCCTACCATGGACTGACAGGGAATTGATAGACAAGAATTAAAGCTTGCAGTTTAATTCAGCCTTCAGAAAGTGTAAGATGAAGCAGATACGTCTTTTGAAGGAACTTATCCATAAATTCTGTCTTCCTTTCTATTTCCATTCATAATTCCACACTTTGCAGAGGTCATGGCCAACATAATGACTAAGTTGTTTAAGGTTCAGTCAAACTGGATAGTTGATCCTTTATGAATTTAGCAGAGTTGCTCCTATTTTCTTTAGGATTGTAACATAACTTTTCAATTCTTTTAAGGGTCTGCACATGCTGTTCTCAGTAGCTATTGGTCTGAGCAACTGGGGAAGAAACACTTGCACGGTAGGACAGTTCTTTTTCAAATTTAAAAAAAAATTTGCTAAACTTTAAGCTAGTATTCCTTCTCATATATACTGTCCACTTGAAGATGTAATGAAATGTTAACTATCACCCGCATGAAAACTAAAGGTTTCGAATTCCTTCACCCTGAATCTTCTGCTCAACATCCTCCACCCCAAACATCTTCCACCTGTTTCTCCCAAAACACAGACACACTTCTAATAGTTAAGTGCCAAGAAAGTATTTGCTGAATAAAGTTAACTAGCTGTGTAATTTTGGCCCAGAAAAGTTCTTTATAATGTTTGAGTTGAGATTGGATGATTACCAGGGTCCCATTATGTAATTAAATAAAACAAATTGCCTTGGAACCAATTCTCCTAGTGATTAATATATTGCTCAGGACAGAGAAAATAGATGGTAATCAGTGGAGGTTACACAGCTCCTACCACATGCGGAACAGGCTACACAATCAAAGTAAAAGTTTGACCTTAGTGGACAGAAGTTCTTACTTAGTGGGACGGTTAAGCCTCTGTGACCCTGATTTGGGAATAGCAGGGTAGCTGTTTTCTTTCCACTGTGAGCCTAATTACTTCCCTAAACTCAAAAAGCCTGAGGCTGTACCTCACGTTTGCTTGACAAGTGTGGTTGCTTGCTAACCACAAAGAGTAGGGAACTCCTTTTGTCCTTTTCAGACCTCGAAAGACAGGGCTTTCTCTGAAGCGCCCGAGAGCACCCCCTCTTTATCTTTTTAGCCTTTTAGTCCTAGGCTCTGTCTTTTCACTTGTGCCTGCTTACTCCTAGACCTAGACGGAGCCAGGGAGGAGGCTACCGTTAGGGTGCGTCTGGGGATGGACCGGAAGTAATGGAGGAAGTGGTTCAGAAAGGGAAGACGTAGGGCCGTGTGCGTCTGTGGCCTCCGTCCTCAGGAGAGCGGGGTGGGCAGGGCAGTCTTATGAACAGATGAAGGAATGCATTCTTTAAAATGCATTAAAAATTAATTTAATTTAATTTAAAATGCATTTAAAAAATTAGTTAATAGGTTTTATTGAGAACATTTATTACATTAAATAAGTTTCTCACGTACATTGTATTTCGGCTTCTATACTTCCGACAGTGTGCTCACTATCAAAAATCTATTTTCTATCCTTCACCATGCAGTTGATCTTTACCCATTTTGATCCCGCCCATGCTCCCCTGCCCATCCCCTTCTGGTAACCACTCTCTGTTCTCTGTGTCTATGTGTTTGTGTTTGGTTTGTTCCTTTATTTTGTTTTCATTTGCTTGAAAGAATGTATTCTTTAAACTGACCTGGGAGATTCTAGAGCTTGTAATAATCAGTCTTTCACTATGTCTTATTAATTAAAGGGGTGAAAATGATCTTGATTTGTGACTTGTTTTATGTTTTCTTTAGCCTTTCAGTGTTCCAACCGGGGAGGAGAACTGACGATTTCCCTGCGTTCTGATGGACGAGTTGACATCAAGGGAGGCGCTGCTCTTGTTTTAGAGGGCACGCTGACAGCCTAGACTGCTTGCACTGCAATGATGCAATCTTGAATTACTATTTTCTGCATAAAAAAATGTAAGCGACTGCTTTGAATAAGATTCATTGTAGTCCACTTGATCCTCACCTGAGAAATAGAACAATGAAGACATATTAATGGGGATTTAATAATGCTTCCTGGTGGATTAACTAAAGGAGTTTTGGTTCTACCTGTGAACATATTCGAAGTAACCAATATCAAAGAATAATGTTGTCACCTTTAATTGTGACCACCAATCACAGAATGAGGAACACATTTATGAAGAGTAAGATTAAATCATTTAAACTCAGATGTGAGTACCTGATAGACTGTTTTGCAGCCATCGAAAAGACCCAATAGCTATGTAGAAATGTAGAAAAATAGTTCACAGTATAATACCAAGAAAGAAAATTATAGTAGACTATTAAATGTTAGCAATGTTATGCTATGTCTGTGGCGAATAGGAATTTATATGGACAAGAATGGATCATGAAGATAGAAAAGTAAAAAGAGTTTTTGTGTGAATGGTAAGGTTGGAGTAATTTTAATGTACCTAAAAAGTTATTTCCTTTATTGGAACATGCTCACGTTTAATACCTAAAAATCAGGACATGTAGGTAAATAAATAAAATGCCCAGAAATTTTTTAAATGAGTGATAATGAGTGATAGAGTGGTAATAAAATTAAACATGGAAAGTAACATGATATCCTGCCTCTTTCCAAGTTCTTTTCAGGGTGGGAATCCCCCTTACTGTCATTCCCATGTATTCTGCAAGTTAGGTGCCCAGCTGGGATCTGAATTCTCACCTATGGGTCAGATCTGCTGCTTAGCAATCTGATGTGGTTGGTAAAAAGCAATTTGCTGTTTCCAGTGTGTAAGACACTGGACTAGAAGCTGGCAGGGTAGAGAGCTGGGGGGCAGGATGCAAAGGAGATTAGAGGGGGAGCTTGTAGAGCTCTCAAGGGACTCTTAACTGGGGAGACCAGGCTCATCCTTTCATGAAAATATAATGAGCAGTTGTATTGGTCTGTGGTTAGGGTCTGCCATATGCAGACCCTGAGTGTTACGGCGTAGTCAGGGGAGTGTTAAAAGACAGGGCTTTGAAAGATGGGCATGAGGAAAGCTTCAGAGATTAATGAATGTACACGGCCTCTAGATTTTGTCTAGAGTTCCTACATCTTGAAAGTAGTTACATTCTATAGGAACAGAGATATAAAGGAAAGTAGTTATTCTAACAATCTAGTCGAAGATATAAGACACAAGGACAGAGAAACACACAGACAGATAAATAATATTGAAAATGATTCTTTTCCTTTTTTGAAAACTAATCTTTATTGTTGTTGTTGCTGTTGTTTTCTATAGAAAAGACAGGAATCACAGCAGTTGTGAGTCATCCCCAGTGTATGAGAAAGAGAGAACTATAGTTCTTCAGGTGTGTACTTCCCGGACAAGTAGCATTTGCACTACCTGGGAGCTTATTAGAAAAGCAAATTCTCAGGCCCTATCCCAGACCCACTGAATCAGAAGCTCTGGAGATGGAGAACAGAAATCTAGTTTTTAACAAGCCCTCCAGGCAATCTGGGTGTACATTTAAGTCTGAGAACCTCTAGTATTCATGGTAATGAGTGATAGAGTGGTAATAAAACACAAAAAGTAAGGTAATATCCTGCCTCTTTCCAAGTTCTTATTGGGGTGGGAATTCCCCTTGCTGTCACTGTCACTCCCATGTGTTCTGAAATATCCTAGTATTCAGCCACTGTCTTCTTCCGTCTCAAGTGACAATTGCTTATGTAGCTCAATTACTTTTATTCTCTATTGGTTTTTTTTTTTTTTGGCTGCACCAAGTGGCTTACTAGGATCTTAGCTTCCCAACCAGAGATTTAACCCATGCCTTTGGCAGTGAAAAGTACAGAATCCTAACCACTGGGCTGCCAGAAAATTCCCAATAACTTCTAAATGTGCATTATCTCAAAATCTCCCTGACCACACCAATATACTTGCTGCTTAATGTAGTTTTGGAGGAGCTATTTTTTTTTTCCCTCGTAGCTTCCAGTTCTGTTCAGCTAGAAAAATTAGCTGTGCTCAGGTGGGAGCTGTTCAGTAATGTGTTGGTAATATAGAGATTAGTTAATCAGCTATGATTTATTAATGATGAATTAATTATACCTGATTATGCAGTTCTGCTAGCTAAATGGAGCTTTAAAGGAGTTATTTTATTAATCATCATGGTGCTAATTGCAGACACTTACAGAAGGATCACTAATTAAACATGCAACCATGTGCAGAACAAGTTGAGCTGCTGAGACCTGCAATAATAAGAAACCCTGACTTTTAGGGGAGCCAAAACAAATTTTATTTTATGCAATATTAGGGAGTTGGCTTGGCAATGTTAATCATTCACTGCAAATTAATATTGTAATTTTTCTCAGCAGGAATTGATCCTTAAATCAAAAAATATATAGCACTCTGCATGCATGTGTGCTAAGTCACTTCAGTTTTGTCTGATCCTATGGACTGTAGGACAGACTCCTCTGTCCATGGGATTCTCCAAGCAAGAATACTGGAATGGGGTGTCATGCCCTCCTCATATAGCACTCTAGTAAGATTCTAATAAAGGGAAAGTTTGTTCAAGCCTATATCCTCTTTATTTATTTGTTTTATTTTTTGACTGTGGTGGATCTTTGTTGGCTTTCTGTAGTTGCGGTGAGTGGGGGCTACAGTTCGTTGAGTGTCTGGGGTTCTCATTGTGGTGGCTTCTCTTGTGGAGCACAGGCTCTAGACACAAGGGCTCAGTAGTTGAAGTGCTCAGGCTTAGTTGCTCTGCAGTATGTGAAATCTTCCCGGACCAGAGATCAAACTGATGTCCCCTGCATTGCAGGGCGTATTCTTAACCACTGGGCCACCAGGGAAGCCCCTATATTCTCTTTTATACATATGCAAGATGGTCTTTGCTGAACAGAAACCTTTGATTGATGGGATGTGACTCACAGCAGAGAAAGTCAAAACCACAAACCAGCCCTTTGTATTGGAGAGCATCAGGTGAGTTCGAGACTGTGAACTCTTGGAGACCAAGAGCACTTGTGAATTGAATCACAATAAGAGGATTCACAGCCTTGTACTATTGGAGCAGAGGAAGGAATGAGACTGTCCAGTTGAAGGGGCATGTGGTAAACTGAAAGTGTGAAAGTGAAAGTCACTCAGTCCTGTTCAATTCTTTTCGACCCCATGGACTATATAGTCCATGGAATTCTCTAGGCCAGAATACTGGAGTGGGTAGCTTTTCCCTTCTCCAGGGGATCTTCCCAACCCAGGGATCAAACCCAGGTCTCCCACATTGCAGGTGGATTCTTTACCAGCTGAGCCACAAGGTAAACTGAAGGGTAGCTGAATAATGGGAAAAGCATTTTCAGTTTTTAGCTCTAGATGGATGAAAGCCATCTCCTGACTTTTTCTTGTTATGATTAATTGTTTGGAGTTATGCAGCATCCAGGCCTTCCCAGGTGGCGCAGTTGGTAAGGGACCTGCCTGCCAGTGGAGGAAGATGCAGGAGATGGGGGTTCAGTCGCTAGGTCAGGAAGATCCACTGGAGTAGGAAATGGCAACTCCACTCCAGTATTCTTGCCTGGAGAATTTCATGGACAGAGGAGCCTGGCAGGCTACATTGCATGGGGTTGTAAAGGCAGGCATGACTGAGCACACACTGCTACCACTATGCAGCATCCAAACACCAACCTCCAAGGTTGTCTTAGCACCATAGTTGGAAACTTCTCATTGTGAGTAGCCAAGGAGGTGGTGGCCAACTTCATTCAAGGAAGCCAAAGAGGTCAGGTGCAACCTCTCCCTGCACACAGAGGGCAGGCATGCTACTGGGGCTCAGTCAAGTCAGAAACGATCTCCTCGGAATTTGGATCCTGAACAAGGGAAGCAGTACTGTAGAGGCGGTGGCCGGAGGCCTATACCAGTTTGCAAAAACACTTTCTTCATTATGACCTTTTGTCTGTCACAGGTATGGAAATATTTTCCCTGATGTTTTGATATATATTAAGGCATTCATTATTTTCCATATTTTGTAGGTGAGAAAATAAATGCTCAGAAATGAAACTGACTTGCTTAAGTTTATTTAACACCAGGATGTGATTACAAACCAAGTGCCCTCACTATACTTCAAGGAATATCCTAGAGGGTTCCTCTGGTCACTATCCTGTAGAATAAGTTACCCCCACATTTAGAGGTATGGAACAGTCACTGGTTATGCTTAGAGATTCTGTCTGTCAGTAATTTGCACAGGACATCATGGAGAAGGTTTGTTTCTATTCCACGTGCTGTCAGAGTGGTTGAAAGGCAGGGCTGAGATCAGCAAAGGCTTGTTCACCTACATCGGAGCCTGAGTTGGGAACACTAGACAACTGAGAACTGGAACAGTTAGGCTTCCTTGGATACTTTTCTCTTTTTTTGGCCACGCAGCTTTTGGAGGGATCTCAATTCCATGACCAGAGATTGAACCTGGGCCCCTTGCAGTGTAAGCATGGAATTCTAATCACTGGACTGCCAAGGAAGTCCCTAAAAATTAACTACTTTTTAAAAATTTATTTTTTATTTTATTGGCCACACGACACGTGGGATCTTAGTTCCCCAACAGCAGATTGAACCTGCACCCCCTGCATTGGAAGCGCAGAGTCTTAACCACTGGACCACCAGGGAAGTCTTGAACACCTTAATCTATATATAGTCTCTCCACATGATGTTTCCAGCATGGCAAGTTTAGGGTAGCTGGACTTGCTCTGTATAGGCTTGCTCCCAAGGCCCAGAGAGAGCCCAGGGGAAGCTGTGTCACCTATTGTGACTCTACCAAGAAGTCACATGGTTTTACTTTTGCCATGTTCTGTTGGTTGAGGCATTTACAAATGACTGTCCCAGGCTCACAGGGCAGGAACATAAATCCTATCTCTTGATGGAGGATTATTCATGCCACATTGAAATAAGAGCATGTGAGAAGGGATATATTTGACTATAGCTGTCTTTAGAAAAATATGATCTATCACAAGAGTGTTTTGAGGAATTTCCCACATCCTTGGGAAACTGGGAACAAAAAGGGTTAGCAGGAATAAGAAATACCTTCATAAATAGAGGAACAACTACAGTCATTGAGCCATCACCAACAAACATATGGATGTGTTGTATTTATAGATCATCATCAAAGACTTTTGAAAATGTTCTTAGCTTACTGAACCAGATGATATTTTCAAGGAACTAGAAACATTTGAGCATCAGCTTTTAAGGACTTTGTGGGCTCTCAAGCCTGCTCTGAAAAGGAGATGCACCAGACTGGATCTGCTGCACGCTTAGAGTGAAACAGTGTTCTTTGGCTTAGTTCTTTATCTTCAGCTGTCTGAGCTGCTATAACAAGAATACCATAGACTAGGTGGCTTATAAATAACAAACATTTATTTCTTATAGTTCTGGAAGGTGGGAATCTATGATCAAGGTGCTGGCAGATTTGATGTCTGCTGAAAGCCCGCATCATGGTTCATAGATGGCATTCTTCTTCTTGTGTCCTCACATGGTGAAAGGGGCAAGGGATCTCTCTGGGGGTCTCTTATAAGGACCCTAATCTGATTAGTGAGGGCTCCACCCTCATGACCCAAACACTGACTAAAGGTCCCACCTCCAAGTACCATCACACTGGGGACTCAGTTTCAACATATGAATTTTGGGGACACACTTTCAGTCTGTGGCAGCCTTTTGGGGTCAAAGCCTTGTAGTTACTGTTTCCTGATGCTGCCCAAAGCTTCTGGAAAGGCCAGAGTGGCTATTGTCAGGGATGAGTGGTTTATGACTTTGTGCAAGAGCCAGTCGAGGTGATCACAATACCTTTGAGCCAGGTTATTTTAAGTTACAATAGACAGTTTGTGAATTTCATCAACCAACTGGAGGCTCTTCCTAGCTAAAATCACTATTTCAGCAAAAAAGAAAAGAAGAGGTAAGTTAAAAGTGAACACCTGTTCTTCTAAAATTGCTCTACTGCAGGTACTAGCCCTAGAGAGTTGGCAGATGGTTTTGTGTTTCTAAGCCTGACCTTAGCAGCCCTTCATCAATCTTGAGCTGATTGATTCTCAAGAAAGAGTAGACTCTGGTTTCCCAGGGTACCCAAGACACCTTTGCTGTAGTTACTACCTGAAGACCAATTAATTAGTCCACACTGGTTCTCTGTAGTTTTCCTAACAAAACTAGAAAATCCTGGACACAGCCTGGCTGGGGAGGCTTTTTAATTGCTCATTAATTATTGTCACTCTAGACATGGATATTCCTAAAAGAGAGAAAAAAGCTTCATTTTGCACTGGGGAAGACTGGTGATTTCCTAGGTCTGCAGCTATTAATATCTTGCATTGTGATTCCGGTATCAAAGGGGCTCCCATCTTTAAGAAACCTCTACCCATAGAACTGAAACTACAAACTGCTGCTCCCATCGAATTTTTTTAAAATATTTATTATTTATTTATGGTTGCACTGGGTCTTCATTACTGTGTGCAGGCTTTCTTTAATTGCGGTAAGTGGGGGCCACTCTCTAGTTGCAGTGCATGGGCTTCTCATTGCAGTGACTTCTCTTGGTGCAGAGCATGGGCTCTAGGGTACTTGGGCTTCAGTAGTTGTGGTGCACAAGCTTAGTTGCCCTGTGGTGGCATGTGGAATCTTCCTGGACCAAGCATCGAACCCGTGTCCCCTGCATTGGTGGGTGAATTCTTAACCTATGGTCCATCCCATTGCTGACCTGGGGAGTCTGTCAAACATGAGAGAATTTGTCCCTTGACTATCAAGCACTTTTTATTTTTTATATATAAGTGCATTTTCTTGAGTTATTTTAAAGTCAAATGGGATTGTATTTTTTTTTCTTTTATGACTGTATAGTCAGGTCACCCAGATCACTTATGATGGCTCATCTCTTGCTCTCTGTACATCTCCTGCTCGACCCATGCCTGCTACACCTGCACCTGCTGCAATGATTGACCTTCCTACATACTTGACCCAGATCCCAGCTAGTGATTGTTCTAACCTTTAGATCAGAACATTTCCCCCTGCTAGCTTCTCAAGAGGGGTGTGCCCTTCTGCTAGTTTCCCCAGTAACCAATGAACCAACGTGACCTCAATTCCCTGGCCCTCCCCCCAGGAGCCAAGACTGCTGCCATCTTGTCCACCAACAGTTGCAGAGTGGGGTTTCACTCCAGGACCTTGCTTCAGACATGAATATCCCCCCATTCACCAAACCATTGATGCCTCTGCTGCTGACTCCAGGCTTTCTTGAAACTGGGCCAGTTAGAGGGCTTGCAAGCCCGAAGGGTGCAGCCCAACGATGATGTAGAATTAATTCATAATCAACTCTCAGTTATTATCTGGATGGACATCTGGAGGTCTCACTCTTCTCACCCTCTCAGCCAGTTTCCCCTCTTCTGTCTCTCAGTTGGATCGATTTCTCTCCTGGTCTCTCCTCAGTCTTTGTTCATCCTTCCATAACTTAGCTACATAAGCAAACCAAAACCTAAGCCCATGAACGCCTAACTGGGGAGGGTAAAGGTGGGCTGTGGGAATGTGTTTAATGTGAGAAGAAGTAATGTTAAGACTCATGTTAAAGGATTAGGTA